TAACAGTTGTTAAAAAGTTCTGGCAGTGCTTCAAGAACACAAAATTGCTTATAATATTAACTTACATAAACTTGCTTACTCCAGAAATTATTCCTTTGATTTAAATGCGATATATCACATTCTTCTCAGTATTCTCACCCTCCAAAAATATAACTTTTTGTACAGAAATTACAGTTACAGCAACGCAACAGATACAACCAGCATAAAACCCCGACTACAGAAGTATAGCTTATTCCCAAACAAAATTAACAATCTACATGAGTACAACTGCATGCAAAGATCAAAGTCTCCCCTATGAGATAACACAGGAAAGGGTTAATCTCTACGGAGATGCAAGTATTTAAGTACAAAAAATACAGGTAAAATAGACTTCAGGAGTCATGTTTACACAACCAACATAAGGCCACAGCTTCATGCGTATTCAAGTTGGTTATGGCTCCAATTTTTCTATTGTTAAACTTTGACTTAATTATACTGTATTCTTTAAGCACCTGGCTTCACACCCATTTAGTTTCTTTCAACTAACTCAACCATGCATTTTAAAATCTAAATATGCAGTCAGAACTGCAGGCCCTGAGCCCAGACACCATGAGACAAGAAGGTATCATCACAATCCGTCTGAGACATAAGCGAGTAGAGAAGAAAGAGTCTAGATAGCTACACAGAGAAAAGGAGCTTCATCATGTGCTGGACTGCTCCACTCCATCACTTAGAAGGGCTTATGAATCGTACACGACCAAAGCTGTGTGATATGGACCCTGCTTGTATGCAGATTTAACCAGCTCTCACAAGCTGCCACTCTTCTTACCTTCACACTGGTATAGATCAATTACTGGGGGGAAATGAGAGAGGTAGGGCTGCTTCTTTAGGAGGCCTGAAGTGTTTGTGGAATTATAATGTAACATTACATACCAATTGTTCTTTCAAAGGCTGCTACTGCTGAACATTTGCTCCCTGCATATAACAGCTAATGGTGTGCAAATGACTGTATGAAGGCATACCCCAACCTATTAAGAGTTTCAACACAGCCTAACAAAAATATTCTGAGCTCTATTCGCATCACTGAAAACATTCCCTCATCTCTATATAGAAGCTCAAATTTCACCTACCACTGCTGCATTATACTTTACATAGAAATAGATCACAAATCACTACCCACTTTTGAGTGGGTTTATATACATAAATCTCCCACTCTAATAAACTTCATCAGCTTTTCTAGATATAATTTAATAGAATTTAAAATAGTGTTAAAACACCCCTGATGGCTGGTAATTACTTATAAGGCTTCTGCAAGAGTCTGTAAGAGTTTATGTATACACACACAGGGAAATACACAGGCACGTGTACATATGAATGTGTACGCATAGGCAGCCCAGCCAATAAATCTCCTTTTCAGCATGTATTTATATAATTTCCACATCATACATATAACTAAAAAATTATTAATTTCTGCCAATTCCTGCAGTCAAAACTTGTGCTCGGGATTCCAACAGTCACATAGCTATTTGAATGATAATGACTCCTACCATGCCTAGGGACCCTCACAGTGATAATAATTGAGGCATCCTCCAGTTTTACTAATCTCCCTGATGTTTTGCGTTGTTTTTTTTTAAGTCAAAGTGCTTTCTGAGACATCTCTCAAATCACCTTTATTCCTCATTGCTCTCTCTCTTCACCAAAATCAAGTAGAATGTGAAAAGGTTATTATTGGCATTTTATTTCAAATCTCATACTGTCAATCTGGCTAAAGCATCCAAGAAATACAAAAGATGGGTCAATTTCACTTAAACCAGAGTTCATCTGGCTAAAAATTTAGAGGTATTCATGGAAAAACTATATTATGCACTTAAAATGTTTGGCTATGGATTTTGTCATCCACTCTATTTCACATAAAACAGAAAGTTACAAGCCTACATTTGGATAAACTCCTTGAAGGAGTCTGGCAACAATGGTGGCAGAGATGGTACAAGATCACAGCAAATACACTGAGCTCTAATCCCAAAGAGAGGTGACTCCATGACTACCACTTCACTAAATCTTTGGTACGTGCATTCCTAATGTGTTAATTTCTCAGGTCTAAACATTAAATTTTCATACTTGGCTATACTGGAAAACATTATCACTTAGATTTTAACTCTACTCAGGGAGTCAAGACCAAAACAGTTCCTGAAATGTGTTAGTGTTTCTAAATAAACATGCCTGGAATAAACATCCCCTTGAACACATTAAGTACCTACCTTGTAACCAGGTCATGTAGCATTCACAGTGGGACAGTTCTCCAGTTTGCCAGGTAAGAACAGAAATGACAAAACCAACCTTTTTTCCATTTTTACACATCATACTAAGACAACATTCAAGATGTATTAAAACCCCTGTAAACTGCCAAACTGAAGATGAAGATGCATCAAGTCAACACCATCCTCCTTATTATGCAGTTTCTTGAGACCTTGCAACAAAACTGGAAAAATTCTAACATCTTCAACTCATCCTGGCCATCCAAGACAGCTGTTAATCTCTGTATTTTAAAGCTATAATTCTTTGTAAAGCCCGGCTCTGAAAAATATCATTGAACTGATCAGGTAGAAGAGAACATCCTCCTACCCCTATAAAAGAAGGGTAAGTGGCGCAGACAGAAGAAAGCAGCAACACATTTTTTTAAGCCTGCTTTATCGGAATACGTGGGCAGTAGGAAGCATTTCTGCTGCCATTCAGACTTGCATAGAGGGTGCAGAACTGGGAAAAATGGTCCATTATGTTAGTGTTCACTGACATTTCTCAAAAATCTATTAGCATTAGTGATCTTAAGCAGATTCTTGCTTTTCCCCTTCTATCAACACAGGTACATTCTTTTATGTAATCAGGCTCACATGCCTGGTATTAATACACGCATTTTCAGGTTATCAACATAGTAAAAAGGACAGATATTAATGACATCATCATAACCACTGTGACCTGAAAACCAGAAATGGTAAAACAGAATACTGCAGAATGAAACTGTTCTGGTCTATTTTTGTTTAATTTCTGACATCAGCAGAATTATTTGGCCTCAAAATACTTAAGTAGCTATTTTTAAATAACAACATGCTCACAATGGTCCAGGCTGAATAATCACCTTGCACATGTGTTCATCTTGCCTTGCTCCCTGACAAATAATTTAAAAATGCAAGTTTGAGGTCATGGCATTTCACCTACACATTTCAGATGACATTGCAAGCCTAGACAAACCAGTTTCACCAATACTCCCAGAAAGATCAACTTCCTACTACACAAGGTAAACCAGGACAGGGAACTGTCTTTTCTTCAGTTTTGTCATCCTTTCATTGAGGTAAAATTCCTTACACAGGATACACCATAAACCATTTTTGCAGTGAATTGAATTCCACATCCCCTATATATACCCTGTCAGGGGGACCTCAGTGCATTCTCAGTCATTTTACTCGGGACAGTGAGATCTAATGCAATTAACAGAAATTAAAATAAGATGGTTTGCTTGGAGGCCATTCAGGCAGCCTAAGCAGCCATCCCATTTATTAGATTTAAAGCAAAATGCAACTAAGTTAGATACTGAAAATAAAAAAAAAGTTTTATGATACACCCATAGAAAAGACAGACCCTTTGGAATATCACCACAAATTCTGTAATCTAAAAGATTAGTCATGATAAGACCTAACTTTCCATTTCCATCATAATGTTACATTTGCTAAAATAATCCTGTCTAGTGTGTATTTGCACTGAAGGTTTTAGAAACAGCTAACATCAGCTGCAATTCAAGGTGTATGGAAGCCAACTAGGAATTCTTTGCCAGTGATTAAAGTTTCAAAAACACATCTAAATTATAATACATACATGCAAAAATTTCAGTCCCTTTATAAGATACTTCATTTGAAGCACTGCAACTATATTATTTAAAAAAGAATTAAACTGAAAAAATCTTCTACTAAGAACAATTAACTTCTCCTATGTAAAGATTATCTTAATATCCTAAAAGAATCCTTAATAAAAATTAGAAATACTGCCAATTTTACATTTTCTATTTAAAAAGTATAGCTGACTATGTTTCAAAAAGCATATGACTATGTTTCAAAAGCATACCATAAAAAGCTGTGTAATTGCCTTCCATAACATGGCCAGATTCATCTTTGTAAAACATGCTGCTTGCTACACTGCCACTAGTACATTCCAAAACTGCATGAAAACTTTTAATTTCCATTTATAATCTTTTCCCAAAAGAAAAGACCTACATTCAAACTAACACTCTATTAGAAAAAGGCTTATAGCAACTTGGTACACTTTAATATTAATCAGCAGTAACCACAACTGGCTTAGTAGACATGAGTGTAAGTGAATTTATTCTGGGTCTAACATGAGAAAAAAAACAAGACAATTCAATGACAATGTCATTTCTAGAAAATACAATTGCTAGTCAAACAACTTCTTAGAAAGTACCTTAAAAAAAGTAATCACTGGTTTGGTTTTGCCATTTTAGTTATATTTTTTATAATAGTTTTAATGTTATCTTGAAAGTTTTCATGTCATCTAAAACAAGCTCTATAAAGAGATCCTTAGCTATGAGACATATGACAGTTGTCGCAATAGGTATCAGACACCAAATCTATCAATTTCATACAGATAACTAAATTACAAATAATCATATCCTTTGGGGTTCCCGATTCATTTACAGGATTAATTTTGTACTTGAATGCATGTAAGTTAAATACAGTGTAGATGTTCAGATAAATAAAACTGTCAAGGATAGGTGTGCACTGTTTCAAATTTGATGACTGTTTAAACTACATTGCAGAGATTTTTTAAAAATACTTACAAACTAAGAGAAAACCAGGAAAAAAAGGTAAATACTGCAACAACTACTCTTCTGTCAACTGCAGATGCTAACCCAAAACTCACCACAAAAGTTTTATCGCAGTACTCATCTACCCATAAACTTGTCATCATACGGGAGGGTTATAAATTATATCAGATGCAGAGTTAATTGGGAAGAAGAATAAATGTCTGAACTGCCATTCTGAGCTTTTCCCATGAAAAAGAACACACACAATGCGGGCACACCCTTTCGCAAAAATAAGCTAATTCGTGGAATAAAAGGGAGATGAAGAAGTCAGAGTGCCCTCAGCTCAGGAATGCCAGGAATCCCCGGAGGAATGCGTACGGGCTGGCGGCAGCGGCACCCCCGACACACCTCGGTCTCGGCGGCCCGCGGGGGGCTCCTCGCCGACCGAGCAGCCCTTGGCTTCTGACCTCAGCGCCCCCCAGCCCGGCCAGTGCGCGGTCACCTAGAGCCAAGGCCGACAGCAGCACCTCCAGCCGAGGCACCGCAACCACCGCACAGGCTGGTACACGCACTTGGGGGAAAGAGCCCCCGCTCTTCACAGCCGGGACGGAAAACTCGGAAACAGTCAGGTCTCATCGGAGTGTGTTCTCGGAACTCCCTCGCCCCTCCGCGGCCCATTCCCCACGCTCGCCCCAGAGGCGGCATAGCCGCCGCTCGCCAGCTCAGCCCCGAGGAACGCTCGGGGGGAAGGCCTGCCCCTACCCGGTGCTCCACCGGCCTCCCCGCGCGTTACCGGCGGTCGTAGAGGGAGAGCCGTGTTGTTCTCCCCTCGCACCAGAGAGAAAGCGGCACCCCTGGCCTTTGGGAAAGAGCGTGTTTAACGGAGCGAGGTGGAGAAGGGAAGCCACCCCTTCAGCTCGGGGAGCCACCTCCACAGCCGCAGGCGGCAACCCAACACGGCGACGTCCCCTGTGCCTGCCGCGCTCCGCTCAGGTCGCGCCACAGCCCAGTGCCGCCCGGCCCCGGCCATCTCTGCAGAGAGAAGACTGCGACGCGGTGCACCCCCACACGGCGCCCAGAGCTTCCGTCGCAACCAGCCACCACTCTCCCCACCCGTCCCGAGCCGCCTCACCCTGTGAGGGGGTTTCCAGTCAACTTCGTGCCCCTCTTGCCGTCGCCCCGCCAGGCGCGCTCGCCGCTGGAGCTGAGAACGGACTGCCCGCCCCTTCCAGCGGGGGAGGGGGGTGCCGGAGCCGCGCCCGGGCCGGGCCGGGCCGGGGAGGAGCCAGGCGGGGGGCGCTCCCTCAGGTGAGTTTGGGGGCTGCCTCTGGCGCGCGCGGCGGCTTCCCGCCCTTTTCCGCCCTGACTGGCGGCCGTTGAACGCCCTGAGGGGGAGAGTGGCGGGCGGGATCTCCTCAGGTTGGAGCCCTCCGACAGACATGTATCAACGGCAAACAGAGGGCAAAAACACCGTAGTCCGCCTTTGTTCAGGCTGCACGAACGGTGCCAAGACGAAAGGGGGTGGCTGGAACAATCTGCAGCAGAAATCCAGCCACAGGCCCAGGTACTGTCGTTAGCTCGAGGCCGCCTGACAGCGGGTTTGCTTTCCTCCGCGAGCGGGACCCGCCGGGCGCAGAGGTGGCTGGCGATGCTCCCGCCGCGGAGGGAAGAGCTGAGGCGGCAGAAGGACGAGGCAGGGCAGGCACGGGTTTGAGCGTGTGTTAGAGGGAAGGAACGAGGAGCTGTGCCGCGGCGTGCCCGTACTGCTCCGAGAGCAACGTCATGAGCACCTCTGGGCGCACGTGAGCTCTCTTCACCGTTTGGGGTGATTTTTCACAGTGTCTTTAGTTAGACTGGAAACACCACAACAAGGTGTTTGTAGATTTCCAGAACATTCCACGTGTATAGTCAGGACTGAGCTGCTGCTGTAGGGCAGCAAGACTCCTTCCCCTGACCCATGTGTGAAGGATAGGTAGCTGCTAAGGACACATGGTTTGCAAGTGACATACAAAACAATACAGTGACTATAAGCATGTGACCAGATTTGCTCCTTGGATAATTTCTTCTACCCTTAGAAATCTGTTCTTGAGGTCTGAATCATGTAAAACAAGCAGCATTGTCAGAAAAAAAAGGCGATAGTGAATATACGGGGGGGGGGGGGGGGGGGGAACGACGGGGGACGGACACGACATGGGACAACAAAACCTTATGTATCTTCTTACAGAGTTGTTATACAGGAGAAGGATGGATAGGCACTCATCCTGTTTTAAAATCTGGCTGTGCTTGGTGGTCACTGCTCACATTTCTGCCTGCGCTGCTCTGCTACCTGTTACATATTCTGAGAAAACAAGCCCAGTTAGCAAACACTATTGTATGGAATTGTATTATATATCATTTTATGGATTTTCTATAGAGAATGTCCCCGTCTTAATTAGGATATATAAACAGAAGGGGTTCAACTAGGAGAGCAGCTCTACCCAACACAGCACCAAAGTTGACACTTCTAGGGCACTGTGTCCAGATTTAGGTGTGAATTGGACAAATTCCAAACGGTTCTATCTAGTGAAGTGATTGCAGACATCTAACAATGATTTCGTTTGCTGAGAGGGTGGAACTATTAGGTGCAACAGGGGCTATAAAGGCTTCTGTTGTGGAAAAGCACACCTCTACGTAATGTGTTCATTCTCCCTGAAAATGGACGTTGATAGGAAAGTCACAGATCTGTGAATTTTTATGCCCTTGATATTGGGTTGACCTGTCAGAAGAATGCTTATGAGACAACAGCCAAAATGTTACCATCTTGATCTTTTACAGACTTGACCATTTAACATTTGCTTTTCATGTATGCTATTTTCATATAAGCAGAGGCCATGACTAATCTTGGAGCTGTTTACATAAAAGATATATATATAGTTTGCTTAGCCCCTTTCACCATAGTTTTCAGAAAGCACATGGTTTTTACCCTCACCCCCTCTGATAGAAATAAAGAATGGAAAAGAAAGTAATTAAAACTTTCTTTTTTCTTTTCTTTTTTTTTTTCCCCTCAGTTACATCAGCTATGTGTCAAAGTTTCGTGTTGAATTCACAGACACGTGTATATGGCTGTATTTTATTACAGTTAAAGTGTGAAGAAGTATGTTGACAGTTGGTTCAGCATTGTAGTTTTGTAACTTATGAAGGAACTAAACTTAATAGAAAAAAAAATGTTTCATTTTGTAGTGTAGTAAAAGAGGTGTATACACTTATTTTCAGGTTGTTGTTAAGAGGTTAATTAAAACGGGTGCTAATCAGTTATGTTATACAACAATACATTTCCATTGCTTTTAGAAGCAAGCCAAAAAAAAACCCCAAACATTAAAGATTCATTTCTTGCTAAAACAGCTAGTCTATGACTACACATTGAAGTGAATTTTGACACTTTATTATAGCCTCCTGTTTCCTTGCAGGAAAGTATATGATCCAATAATCATAGTGTAACAAAAAAAAAAGTTGTTCTCACAGTATGTTATTACTTTCAAACACTGCTTCTAACTCATCTTTTACAATACATCTTGAAAATTTTCTCAAATTATTAAAAGACTAGATACCTGTTGCTTAAGAAATAACGTTATCCCTATTTCTGTATTCAGTAAGATATCGAATAGACATTTTTATCTCTTTCTTATATCAAGAAACATTCTTCAAAATTCACATCTTCTAGTTTTCACTGACTTGTTTTCTCAAAACATTGTCTTGAGCAGAATGGTTACAGAGTTGATTCTGAAATTATACCTGTAAAATTGTATCTGTACCTCAATCATTTAAACAAACTTCAAGCACTTTTGAGTTATATGAGCATAACAAAGTACCCTTTTATAAAAATCGTACTACTTTGGCTATCCTAGAACACCAAGGAACAGTTCTATTTTAAGTATTAAATATACTGGGGTGTAAATTTATTTTCAGAGGAGAGTTCGGGTCATTTAAAGAAATTTAATTTTATACATTTACCAGCTGCTTTTTAATGTATGACCTCTGTATTTTAACTTGAAAGACAAATACTCAGAAAGGGAGGCCCTTAGTTTTCCACCTTTCTTATTTTTTCCTCTCTTTTTGCAGTCCCCTTCCTTCCTTTTTTTCCTCTTTCTCCTTTTTCTTTTTGGAGGTAGCCCCTGTCTTTTACATTTGTCATCTCTTGTTCTCCTTTTTCTCTATTCTCCCATATACAACTGTCAGATGCACAGAGTACAGCCCAGAGCACCGAATTCCCCCTATCTCTAACCCAGTTGCGCAATGTAGAGGCGTGTAACAATATTCTAAAAAAGCCTGAGTCATCCCAGCCATTAGGTATCTATTGAAGAACATCTTTACGTTGCAGGAGAATAAGATGTGGTAAATAAAACGTATTAAAATGACATATGTAATTGTAGAATAAGAAATCAGAAGTTTTGGTTGTCTTCAACAGGGGAAAATACCTCTTTATACTTTATAAAAGTTAGCTTTACTGTTTTCAGCTAACCTGTGGAGAGGAAAAAGGAAATTAAGGTTTAAATTGTAACTTGTCTTCTATAGAATTTACTTCCATTTTATTTAGCTCAAGTTTACAAATGCTCTTCCTACTGAAGACTGTACAATTATTAATCTTATCTATGTGGGAATCAGGAGATCAGGAGTAAGATACAATGTTCAAAGGTGTAAGGTGAGATGAAAAGTTTAAAAGCTGTTGAGGGGAAAATACGACACAAAGTTAGATCATATAATATGACAGCTTCAATATTAATTTAACAAATACATAGTCTAGTAATTAAGTGAATAATTTGTAGAGATACGAACTTCAGTTTAAGATTTTGGACTCTGTTCTACATCTAGCCACTATGAGACTTTCTGACCTCTCATTCTTCTACTTGGACAACTTTTGGCTATATCGATATTTTTTCCTTCATCTTAACAGCACAGTCTTGCTCCCACTAGCCTTATTCAAGTAATCCTAGCAATGACAAAAAGTTTTTCCAAAAACAGACTGAAGAATCCTGGGTACTACTAAGTACATCTACATTAAAGTTCCAGAAACCACTGTGACTTCTCTGCTGTGGTCTAAGTGGCTTGTCTTGGTCAAGTCCAGCCTGCTAGGATTTAGCTGTGCCCATGCTGCAGGAACAAACTGGTGTTTTGGAAGTAGCATAGACTGAATCTGTTTTGCACAAATACATGAAGTTAGTAATTTGTTGGCATTGTCAATGTATTTATTTGAAGAAAGCTTAAAGGGTGCATTGTTTCAGTCAGTGCAAATGTAAACATTGATTAATTTATCACAGAAATAGTATGTAGTAAATTAAATGGTTCATATGCTCTTTCTGCATGTAGATCTTAAGAACTATTGTTATCTTTTTTCTATATATTGCATACCCATTTCTTATCTATTTTCTATACTCAGTATTAGGAAACTGTACTAGGCATTGTAGAGCTCCATGAGAGACCCATACCAAAAAATGCTTTACAATCTAAGTAGACAAAGGATTTAATCACAAAAAAGACTATAGAATGTGCTATGCTGAAACCAAAATCATGTATCATGGCAAGAAAACGCAGAGGCTTTCTGAGTAATTTAACAGTTCTGTTTCTCATCGTAACATGCATACGTGTAATGGTAAGCAAATGTAAGCATTTTTTATGTATTTAAATTTTACACATAGATGTTTGCAAAATTAACATCAAAATTCTTAAGATTGGCATCCAAAGGTTACATCCTGGGGACATAATATATTCTGTCTCTCTCAGAAATACTAATTTCAAATCTTGTTTTACCTTTTTTGTAATACCTTTTTTTATTTAAGGTATCTTTCTTTTGTTTACAATGCATATCAAAGATTATCTTGGTTTAGGGTATGCAGGCAATTTAACGTATGTGTAGTGTACCAAGGAAGACAGTGTGTAAAATAAAATTAATATTTTCTTGGTTTAAACTGTGCTATTGATTAAAGATACAGCAGGACAAAGTTTTACTTGCTTTATTGTTATCTTTTTAGGATTTGCAGACATTGCATCATGTATTCAGTTTTCTTAAAAATGTGTGTCTTTGATGAGAGCTAAGGCAAATATGCAGTAAAGAATTTAGGCTCCTAATTCCCGTAGAAATTAAGTTATTATAATAGGGAGGTGAAACATGAAATACTTTCTTGTGTTTAGACCCAGATAACTTTTGAAACAGAGATAAAATCATCATTATCCCATGTAAAAATGTACTTTTTTTTTCCTTACAGGCATGCATTTACTTTTCGACAAAGATGAGGAAACTTTTCCAACCCTATGGAAGTCTAAAGCAGTAGCTG